GCCGGGGCTCATTCCAGTTCAAGCTTTGTTTTATGTTTTCTGAACAGAATGAAGATGATACTTGTGTTAATCTCATGCTTTTAGGTTGTTTGTGAGTAAAGTCTAACCTGTCTGTGCAGGGCTGCATCCACTAAACACGATGGGATTCATATACATGAAACATAAACACATTTAGGAGCAGGAATACTCACCAAAAGATTGAGTAAAAGTCATATGTGGTATTGCTTTGAAAAACACAGCTATGTAGACATTTATGTACAAAGGGTGGTTTCAAATAATAAGCTAGGATTTGTACTTCCGGTCAACAAGACGGTGTTAAAACCATAAAAAGTCACGTCGTCTATAAGTATACTACTAGAAACTGCAAGACATACACAGCTGTTAATGGAACCAACATGTCATTGCTCTGCTAACAAATGGCTACAATTAGATTTGCAACTTTTAATCAACAGTTGTGATTTGTAATTTTTTTTTAAAAAGCAACAACAAGCTACAATCATATATCCATTTACTTTTACACACTTTCTACCCTCTGGCCGACAAGTGGAGCTAGTGCCCATATAAAATAGTCACCCTGCGAGAAGTGGGGGGCACATGGACAGGTCTCCAGTCCATCACAGGGACATATAAAGACAAATGAGACCAACAACCATTCACTCTCTCACTCACACTTAGGAACAATTTAGAGTTACCAGTCAGCCTAACATGCATGTTTTTGGTCTGTGAGAGGAAACTGGAGTACCTGGAGAAAAAAAATCACATGCACAGAGAGAACATGCAAACTCCACCCAGAAAGACCCCCGGCCAGGATTTGATCTGGCAACCTTTTTGCTAAGCGGCAGCAGTTCTACCAACTCATGCTACAAATACCTCTTACAAACAAGTGATATGCCGATGTCCCCCACCGCTGAGGGGTTGGAATAGTGCATGTGTTTAGTTTTTGAGATGAGTATGTTTCTGAAGTGAAACTGAACAGGGAAAGTAAATAATTCAATGTTTTTGGTGCAAGATATTCAAGTGGGTAGAAGAAGAAAAGAGGCAGGTTTTTATTTCTTTTGTGCTTGTCCGAGTCAACGCAGAGTGACGGAGCCTGGCGAGTGGAGGGTTGACATTTTATCCAACACCAGGTACAGTGGAGGAGTTGGGGGTGGCCATCTTTGGCCATCCCAATAATTTGGGGAAACTATAATTTTGAGCAATATAAATACAAGAATGGCAATGCCCATCTTGGATTTTTATCTGGCAACCCACAGTTTGAAAGTGACCTTTCTTTCACCTAGGTGTAGTCACACACCAAGGTGGAAGTCTGTTTCTTTCAGGTTTCAGGCACAGATGAACGGATGGATGGACGGTATAGTGAGTTTTCCCTCTTTGCTTCATGACGAGGGACAAGGGGCCAAAAAATAAAGACCAAAATGAAATGGATGTCTCTGTGGAGTGGCGTGGTCACTCACAGGCATTTTGTAGAGTGTTGAATATGGGGCTGAGATGGAGGAGAAGAGGAAGACCACAAAGAAAAGTTGTGGATTTAATGAAGGAGGATCTGCAGAAGGTTGGTGTCAGAGAGGAGAATGCTGGGAAATGGAGGCAAATGATCTGCTCTGGACACCACTACAGAAAGATGCTGATATATTTGAAGAGTCACCGTTAGCCAAGTTAAAACACCTAAAATTCATAAAACGTCATCTTTAAAGGCAAAATGTGAATACATGAAACATAACATGCATTCATGACTGACAAAGCACGAAGCCTGAGATTTGACTCCCTTTGCATGCATCATGTGTTAATGCAACGTTTCAGTAAAATAAAAAGTGCTCCGTGGCCTCTCCTCTCATACCGGGGTGGTTTTCACTCCCCCCACAGGCCACATTATGTCCCCTCATGTTCTCTGCCATCTGTAGTAGTTCTGATGGGGCATCTGTCCGAGGGAGTCTGTGCAACTGGGAACAACTAGGTTCATCAAAGAGATTTCAGCTGTTCCACTGAATACAGCCTCGTTTTTTCCTAAAGTTTTTGTAGCGGTGTAATGAGGACAAACTCAGACAAAAGTATATTTGAAGGTGTTTCTTTGCTGTCATGTATGCAGACAGTTTAGAGAAACAATCAGAAGACGTGTGATGAAACAATCATTTCATTAAGGAGGTGATGCTTTGAGACAATTTTAGGGTTTTTCTGCAGCCGAAGAGTCTGTTTTCTGTTTCACTGCAGCCCATCAGGGGACTACATTTCCTTATTCAAACACAGCTCTGTTTTTGCCTCAGGACCCTAATTGCACGGGCGCTGTCTAAATGTCAGAAATAGCTGGCGGTTACTTTGGCATCATTTCTCATTGTCAAACCACCACTTCAAACTGGGCAGAGAAAGCAAACTTTAGAAGTGTAAATATTCTGCGCTTTTAAAGGCTGTCATCGCAGATATCTCTGGAAAAAAAAAAAAAGGTACACAGAAGAAATGTTTGAATCTCTTTAAGAAAAAAGTGGGAGGCTAGGCAAATGGCAAAGATGAAACTATTATTGTTCTCAAGTTGCAGTCAAACTTGCTTTTACTTCCAACAAGTTAACTCAGGTCATCTGGACAGTTTCTTTTTTGTTGAAACGTCTCATCTTTCATCCAAAAGACAAAAACCAGTTGACCCATTATGTGCACCATCACACTGGTGGACCCACTATGGGAAGGTGCTGTTTATAAGACTGAGTTTGTTTGTGGCTCCTCAGACTGATGAAGTCTTTTGGATGAAAGACAAAACATTTCAACAAAAAAGAAACCATCCAGAGAACCTGCTTTGTTGGATTTTTCTACCTGGATTACTGAGCATGACTCAGGATGTTTTTACTTCAACTTTTCTCTGCATTTCATTTTCCCTTTGCTTTTATGACATACTTTAAGAATACGCAGGTAGTGTGTTTTTTTTTTTTTTCAATCTTAAAGCTTTTCTCACTTGAACACTGTCCAGTATTGTTGCTTTATCAGAACTTTTTGGTATCACAAATTTTAAGGAAAGCCTCGATTGGCAGATATTAACACCCTGTGAACATTGTGAGTCTTGTTGGGTGTGTAACGTTTAGCTGCTTTGGGATCTTAGCTGTACACCAGCTGAAGTAACAGCCCTGCGAAGTCCGTACAACAGCACAGAAAGTCTTCAGGGCCCAGCTTTAAACTTTACGAGCAAGGTGCCTCCACCACACCACAATCATCATCAGTCACCTGCCTCGCGCTGGGCGCCAATGTTTTACTCTGCTTTTTTTTGAGAGACACTTTAGTTTAGGCCTTTAGAAACTCTCCTCCAGACTAAAGAACTGTTTTTACCAATGTGTCATGAAATATTTAAACTTTGCAAATGGTTTTGTCTGTGCAAGTACAGTCTGTTAAATGTCTCAAAAACCATGTGACAAATTTAATGCAACTTATAGAAAGTAATAAATATCAACCTGATTCAAGGTTTTTCCAGCACCCAACTGACCTTAAAATATATATATCTCTTTACCTACAATTTGAAGAGGTCGTAGCTGTATCCCCAAAACATTTTCTGAGTTCTAATAGAGTGAATAAAGTTTTTGTTTAAAATTATACTATCAGCTGATAGTATAATTAGAAGATTACTCTGTTTGTGTCGTTGTTTCAGGAAGTTTGGACCCAGGAATGCAGACTTAACATGAAGCGCTAAAAAACGAACTTTTCTCAATCACTCGAGGAGAAGCACAAAGAACAAATAAATGCCATGGTATGAAAACTGATAATTCACAAAGGAAAATGGAAATAGACAAAAACTAAATAGGCTGGAGAAGTGGCTGCAGCTGTGTCAGGTGAACAGAGGCAGTTGTAGGTGAGCCATGAGCAGAGGAACTGACAAAACGAAAACACAACTAAACACAGGAAATAATCTGGAAGCATGGTGGTGCAGTTACTAGGGCTGCCGTCTATCAGCGAGAAGGTCGCCCTGGTGTAAATCCCAGCAAGGGACCTTCCTGGAGTTTGCATGTTCTCTCCGTGCATGTGTGGGTTTTCTCCGGATACGTCGGTTTCCTCCCACAGACCAAAAATGTGCATGTTAGGCTGATTGGTGACTCTAAATTGTCCCTAGGTGTGAGTGAGAGTGGATGGCTGTTTGTCTTGTTTGTCTCTATGATGGACTGGAGACCTGTCCAGGGTGTCCCCCGCCTCTCAAACAGTGATGGCTGTACATGCACACTAGTGACCGCCGCGACTTGAAAAGGAAGAAACGGGTGAGGAGGGATGGAGGGATGGATATACTCCTTGAATCTACAAGGGAGTAAGTTTAGGAGTCAGTCCCATTAAAAATGTTCACCACAGCCAACTGACCATAGTAAACAGAAAAATGACTAAAATTCCATTATTGTTACAGGTAGTGGTAAAAATTAATGTGATTATAGCGGAGAGTTATACGCAACACATATCTTATAAGTTACTCTTTGTACAAGATATTTTGCTGCATTTTAACCAGTTCACAAAAACATGTTATAAACACGTCTCCACTGCTGCTAAGTAGGACTTTTGTTATCTTTCCATATTTTTCTTGGCCCCAGCATGCCAGTCATGTGCTCGCCAACTTCCTAAAAGTCAGACAAATATAAGTGTGCATGTCTTTGTTACACAATCCAGATCTGAAAATGGGTTACACGAGTTTTCAACTCATAGGGGACGTGTTACCCCTCCTCCTGCTCATGTATCTTCCTCTGTTACAAGCCAGCTCTTTGTTTCACAGGAGGGTGTTTCGTGCGTGTTTTATCTCCAGCAGGGGTGAGGATGATGACTACATGATATAATTTCTCAGAACAAGAGCAAGCAGCATTCTCACACCTGAGTGTACTAGCAGGGAACGAAGGAAACGAGTTCAGAGCAAATGAACCACATTATCTCCTGAATCTATATTAACGTATCAACTTCCTGACAAGATCCAAGCATCAACAAGAGTACTGTGTGCACCATTCATAAGTCTACATGTAAATATGCGTTTAAATTAAATTATCTTTTGTACTCACCTCCAAAGAGTACTCTCAGTGACACTGCCAATATGAAAGTCGTACAGTTTGGTCAGAATCAGGATCACCTGCGAGGGCAAGAAAAACTAATTAAAATCATTTGTATCAAAGCAAGAAGCAACTTATATTATACAAAACAATATCACAGCACAGATTTTCACCAGAATCTTCATTAAGTTTCAAGAGACTTTAATGTCATTCACATCACCTGTGGTACATGAGGTGGAATGAAATTGAGTACTCAAGGTCCCAGTTACACCCACCCAAAATAGCAATAATACAAAGTGTAAAAAAAACCAGTCATGACATCCATAAACAGTCATAACTAGACAAAGTACATTTTCAGTGAATATGCCATGCTGAGTGCTGAGATTTGCAAAATAGGTTAAAACATTTTTTAAATAAAAGAAGAACACGGACTAAAATGAGAGAGACATTAGCTAAAAATAAATCAGTTTCACATTTTGGATTTAAGTCAAATGTTTCAACCACGGTTACAACATAATGTGGGTCTTAAAGTGGATGGAAGACATTCGATCTCGCTGACGTGGTTGGTAGGCGTTTTGCTCAACATGAAAATTTTATACTCAAATAGAACCCACGGGGCGAAGTCCTGGTAAGCCCCTCCCACTGATGCATCCATCACACACCAAAGCTGCAACACAGACAGCAAGGTGGGCCTAGAGGAGGGTTGTTTTCATTTGATGATGGAGGAGTTTGTGGAGGAAGTTTCTGGCAGACAGGTCGGGACGTGTTCCTACGCCGTCTGGCTTCGTGGGGTGGGTGGTGGTGTATGCCTCTTTGTCATAGCTGCGAAGAGCTGCCTATGTCTCTGTGCTTTCTTCATTGTATACAACTATTGTACTATCTCCCTTTATGTGTTCTTTTACAAGTTTTGACTATTTTTGCAAGTTTTACAGGAACAGTGGCGAAGATGGCTGTTTTTCTAACAGCTGTGGCTAGCAGTTCCTCAGCAGATAAGTTAAGCAAAATTACAGCAGTGAAGTCATCTGCTTATCTGCATAAACACACCCTCAAAGAACAGATTATCCACACAATACTTGGTGCAAACCTCTGCCAGCCCATAGTTAGGCCCTATGCACATAGCTGGTTCTCTGAGGCTGTGCAAGAAAAAAAAAAAAAAGGGGGGTAATTTGTGTCATGCAATCACATGAGCGAGAAATAATTTCTGCACTTTTGATGTTCTTTTTTTGTTTTTTTAATCAGCCTTTAGTTTATTCTGCTGAAGTGAAAAAGAGTTTCAAGATAAAGTCCAGACATTTTGAAAGAGTCTGCAGCTTCATTTCACTTGAAGGAAACAGGTTCTCATCTGATCGTGATGCATTAGTGAAAACATCAAACTGCCTGAGTGAGAAGACCCCTGCATGGACATGGAGCGATGTCCCATCATGCCAACACCAGGAAACAATAAAATAAATGTATCATAAGGAAATGTCTTTTTTGATCGCACACATTTTAAATCCCTTTAAAGGCCATGATTTATTAGCTCACAAATTAATAACTTTGTACATGATGCATGCAAAGCATGAGATTCCAGTTAATTGCCTTTTGTTGGAATCTCCAAATCTGCAAAGTATTCTTCCCTCGAAAAAAAATGCATTTTCATTAATGCCTGCAACGAAACACCTTTTAGACTAAATTGAATTCTGTCTCAACGGCAGAAAGAAAAACACTACAACGTAGGGAGAGAGTGATGAATTAGCATGTTGGGAGGCTGAGCTTTGCATAATTAGTTCTGTGTATCCAATTCTGTGGTTGTCACTTTCAGACTCAGAACCTTTTATTTTCTTTGATGAAGCACTCTGGTGCCCTCACCTTATCTATCAGACTCTCTCCATGTGTTCGCCCATGTCTGTGGAGGAATAATCAGCAGGGGAAGTTCTGTACAAGTCCTCAGAGCAAATCACATGAAGGCCATGACAGGGTCAAAGGTCAGCTGGAGGGAAACGGGAGGCTTGGTTTGGTTTATTTGTCATACGCAAAATCAACACAGGGTCAACAATGCAATGAAATGCTTAGGACGAGAAGAACTGTCTCAACTCACCAAAAAAAAAAAAAAAAAAAAGCATGCTGGAAAAACGCTAAAAAAATACCCAGGATTCTCTTGCAAAAAAGATTTTTTAATCTCAATGGGATTTTCCTGGTGAAATAAAGGTTAAATAAATAAATATATATATATATATATATATATATTTTTTTTTTTAAACATACCAAAAAATGCTACTAAAATACTAAAAACAAGGCGCCAAATTTGAAAAAGAAATACATCTACAGTGTGATTCTGTTAGCAGTGAGGTTCTTTCATCAGCATGGTTCTGTTCTGTTAGCAGCGTGGTCTTGTTAGCAGCTTAGCAGTTCTTATTAACAGGTCCAGTCAGCAGCTTGATGGTAATAAGGACCTTAGCAGCTGCCCTCACAGACCACAGTCCAGAACTAGGTCCGGCAAACAGAGAACATCGAAGTTTTCCCCAAGGGTCCATAGAGTTTCGGTCCATGCAGACAGATGGAGGAGCTTGTTAGCAGCGTTAGCAGCGTTAGCAGCGTTAGCAGCTTTAACAGCGTTAACAGCTTTAACAGCGTTAACAGCGTTAACAGCTTTAACAGCGTTAGCAGGCCCCACAAACAGCTTGATGATAACATAATAGGTTAACATAATAGGTTACACATCTACTGAAACTAGGAGGCGCCTAAATGTTTTATAACCTCAACCCTATTCACTTTCATTCACATTAAAGTTTCAGATAAATTAAATAAAACTAAATGTTGAACGTCAGAACTTTGAGCAGAGATGTGAGTTGACCGTGTTCTAGTCAGAAGTTGGACAACCAGTGGGATTTTATGACCAACATCTCACATTATTGTTAAAAATTTGAAACATTGTGGTATATTCTGGACACCCCCAGCAATGGGCTCAGTAATACAACTCAAAAGTATTTCACACACACACACACACACACTTACATACACAAACAAACATTATTTATGGATCACATACACAAATGAAGCAAACATTTGTGTTGCTGAATATCTTGGACCTTCAAATCAACCTTTATTTATACAGGTTAGTCTCACTGAGCCTCAAGGGCTCATTTACAAGTTATTTACTCATCAACCTTAAAGTTGAAGCTCCATTAAAGCCATTAGGGGCCGAGACAGGGTAGAGGTAGGGCAGCCGACTTGGGACCAGAAAGTCGCGAGTCGACTCCCAGGGCACTTACATCGCTGCCCACTGCTCCACCTGGGTGTATCTCACATGTGATGGATTAAATGTGGAGAACTAATTTTGCCATTGTATGGAAACATACAATGACAATCTCAGACTTCCCTTCCCCACCATTTACTCATCAACCTTAAAGTTGAAGTCTCACTGGAAACCTGTCCTGTCCAACAGGATCGAGTTAACATTTTCTAGTATGTTGTGAAATAAAATATATTTGTGTGCTTAAATTCTTTAGTTTTAT